ACAGGTCGACATAGACGTGTCATTGTGTGGAAACTGTTACAAGACACGCGAAACAGGCCCACGCACGCACAGATAGACGAAAATGCCGGGCTCGCTCGCCGGCTCTCTGGGGGAGGCACTTGTTTCGAGTCGCCCCCTGGCGGCACGCCTCGCGGCTTCCAAACGTGAATCACCCTCGATAAGAGGGCTTATAGACAGATGAAAATAAGTGTGAAGCAAGACACAAGGGTCCAATCCTCGCGGCGCGGTCCCCTTGGTCGCAGGCTGGAGTTGGCACAGAGGGGTGCGAATGCAAGAGTCGCAGGCGGCGGCGCGCATCGCTGCGCGCGCCCGCACCGACCCTCCCGCATGCGCGCGATTTTGCAGCGCGCCGTATGGCGGTCGGGTTGTTGTGCGTTATGGGAATGGCGAATCAATCTAGGGGTTGGGGCGTGCCCCCACTCTTCTGCTCAGCGCAGCCACCGCCGGCGCACAGTCAAGAGCCGGGCAGCTGCTGCCTTCACCCCTCTCGTCAAAGCACAGAGGGCATTCTGACCCAGGGCCATACACTGGGCCAGGGTTTGTGGTCCACATTCCCTGATTATCATTGGGGCAGCAGCTGGCTAGTTCATGACGCCGCTGGTGATGCCCCTGGCCTGGCTGACTGTGGGGTTGGCGCCCTGGAACAGACTGGGTTTGGGGAGCAGGTGAGTGGGGTGGGGTGAGCGGGACAGGGGTGAGGGGGCCTGGGACGAGGGGGGTTCGGGACGAAGGGGGGGAGGATCAGGGGGTGCAGGGGTTCCGTTTGTCCGTGTGTTTTCCGAGGGAGACGAGGGGCCGTGCAGCGATGGGGTGCGTGGTCTGGCAGCCATAAGTGGAGGAGTCAAGTTGGGCTGGACACCAACAAACACACTGCCTGCACGCCGAGCGCGCATATTACGGCGAGCGCGCTTATTATCCCCCCTCCCATCCCGTGTGCCGGGGGCCGGATTTAGCAGAATCCTGGCTTGATTTGCGCAAGATGTGGGCCGTCGCGGGCCGGCGGGCCACTCACGTGCACTTGTGGTTGCGGTCGACCATCCAGCCGCCCGGCTGGTAGGTCCACATCACGCAGCCATTGGAGCGGTTGGCGGCGCAGAGGGCGCAGCAGTCGGCCGACGACTTCTGGAAGGCGTCGTACTTGGCGTCGATCTCGCGGGCTGCGGCGGTTGAGGGTTTTTGTGGGTCATCCAAGGTTTGGTGCGTGAGGGACCCGGCTTTGATACGGGTGGCAGGGGCCAGGTGGCAACTGCAAACGAGCTGATGGCCGCGCGGCCGTCGCGGCGGGAGGAGGTAGCGTCCAGGAGCGAGGCAGCCGCACAGGCTTGGGGGCAGAGGCGCGCCTGGGATGCATGCAGCATGCACGCATGTGTGCATGTGCGTGCGTGCATGCGCGTGTGTGTGTGTGTGTGTGTGTGTGTGTGTGTGTGTGCATGTGCATGTGTATGTGTGTGCGCGCGTCCGTGCATGTGTGTGTGCATGTATGTGTGCGTACGCGTGCGTGTGTGTGTTGCGTGTGCGTGTATGTGATTGCATTGTGCGCTCACTCCTGTCAGAGCTCCAGGACATGACCTCGGTGATGAGGGTGTTGGGCTGAACCTTGGCGTCGCACGCGGCCGCAAGGCGCGCAGAGTTGGCGGCGGCTGCAGGGGATTAAGGGATGAGGGGAGGGTTTGGGCGGCGGATGGCGTGACTGACT